CTTCTATTTGTTGTTTCCTTTGATATCACTTCTATTTGTTGTTTCCTTTGATATCACTTCTATTTACTTTTTCATTTCCTATGCGTTTTATGTGATTGCCACTCGTCTGTACCTCATCTTGTTCTTTGTTAAATCAGGTCTCTCTGTAAATGCGTCCTTGAGGCTCAATGACACTAACTGTAGAAATAAGCTCGACTGAACGAGGTGACGTTTCACGTCCCGGGAGCGACCCCCATGCCACCAGAATCCTCCCTCGCCTGCCGCCCGGCACACGATGCACCTTGACAGACCTCCTCACCGGTGGTGGGTCCACATGGAGGGGGCTTTGCTGTGGGGGCCATCTTAGATCAGGCTAACATGTAACCAATCAAGTTCCCATCAAATGTGTTCTGCCATGGGTCACGAGATATTTTGCCAACTCCTTTGCACCGAGACACACATGGTAAAAACACGGTTCCATTGTCGGGCAACAAAAAGTCTGAATATGAGAAGAAAAGCTTTGAGACGTGCAGGAGCAGCAACGAGGACTTCAGGCTAACGGTGGATGGAAACTTCAGTTTACCTGAAGGACCAAAACCACCAAACTCCACTGTAATAACCTGATCCCAGTCGATTCTTGTATAAAAACGCGCTGGAATTCCTGCAGCGGACTGGGAGCTCGTTGTTGTAGACCGAGGGGTCCCAGGCGGAGCCAGACTCTTTGTCCTGCGGGGGAGTCAATGGCGTAGATGGAGTCGGGGGACCTGAGGACACACAGAGACACAGATGAGCTGTTTTCAACACCTCTGGATTACAACAGTGACAGCTCCGAACCTGAAGTGATGGTGGTGGCAGACTTGAGGCCTGCAGCTTCCACGATGCTGCCGTCAGTGTGCACCACAATCAGGGTGGCCTTCTGGGTGCTGAGACCTTCATCCAGCTGGAGGGTGGTCCTGCCGCTCTGAACACAGGAAACAGATGTGGAGGTCCTCGTCAAACCGCTTTTATTCCCCCAAGTTCCACGTTTTCTATTTCTAGTTTTCTAAACGCCCACAGTGTCCCATTACTGGCTGAAGCAGAGAAAAAGCGTCTCATGTGAATATGCAGAGAGAATGCTTATTGCAGAAGAACGTGCTGAAATGAGCTAAAAGCATTCTGAAATGTAGCTGAAGTGGAAGAACAAGCCTAAACTAGCAGAAGAAAGCAGAAAGAACACATAGTTGCTGAAAATGAGCAGAAATGAGCACAAAAATGAGGAAATTAGCAAAAAAAGCTGAAATTAGCAACAACAACAAAAAATAGTTGAAAAGTAGCTGAAAAGGCAAAAAGAAGTTTAAAGTACCAGAAGGAAGCAGAAAGAGCTGAAATCAGCTAAAAAATGTGGAATTAGCTGAAAAACAAGATTAGCATAAAGAATTAAATCGTAGCTGAAAGAGCAGAAAAAGCTGAAAGGAGCATGTGATGGGGGAATGTATGTAAAGGTCATGGATGTTTTCACTAATGTTAAATTAATATAGAACCAGGAAGTCAAGAGGGTCTCTGCTCAGAGAGGAGCCTGAGAACTGATCACTGATAATTGATAAATAATAATAATAATTTATTCAATTTGTACTGCACTTTACATTTTACAATCTCAACGTGCTACAAAATAAAATATCTAAAGAGAATAAAACAAAAAGTAAAAATGTTAAAAGCTACAAAACAAACAAACAAAAACACAAGAGGATTAAAAATACCTTTAAACACAATAAAATGTTTTAAATACTTCAGTCCTTTCTTAAAACGTTCTGTACTCTGGGATATCCTTAGATGGTCGGGGAGGTTGTTCCACACATGAGGAGCAGCACAGCAAAAGGCCCCGTCACCCACGGTGTCACCCACGGTGTCACCCACGGTGTCACCCACGGTGTCACCCACGGTGTCACCCACGGTGTCACCCACGGTGTCACCCACGGTGTCACACATTGTGCACAGTTTTGTCCGGGGAGAGCGGAGCTGGCAGGAATTTGTGGAGCAGAGGCTGGAGTTGATGTCTGAGCAGTGAGAAGATCTTTAAGATCGTGTGCAGCGTTGCTGTGAATGGACTGGTGGGTGAGTCACAACTGGTGGGTGAGTCACAACTGGTGGGTGAGTCACAACTGGTCAACATCATTAGGCCAGGACTCTGAGGTCTACACTCATCTCCAGGCCAGAGGTCACTCTTTCAGGGATGATGATGTTCACATCAGGGATGAAGATGTGCACATCCTGGACAGAGAGGAACGATGGTTTGAGAGAGGAGTAAAGGAGGCCATCTTTGTGAAAAGAAACCGTCCATCATTAAACAGGGGTGGAGCCTCCAGGTTCAACTGTCCCCCTCTTACAATGCTGTGGTTGCTAGTATCACTCAGCCCTCTGTGAACAGTAAACAGCCATCAGGTGCTAATGATCCATTGTTAGGCTGATGGTCCTTCTTGAGCATGTGATCAGCTGGTTCTGGTTGTCAGCAGCAAACTGGTTGATCCACTCTGAGAAGGTGCTATTTAAGAGACTGAGCTGAATACAGCACCTCAGACTGAGGAAGTCCTCAGGATGAGAGACGAAACGTTTCTACATTTTTATATTTTTGAATGTCCAGAGGACCAGATTGAACTTTTTTGGATTTTTCTACCTGGATTATTGAGCAGCATCAGGATAGCTATGAAGATTAGCATTGGCCATAAAAACTCATCAGTTCACTTCTGTTTACAACTCATTAACATTTGAAGTCAATTCAAGATGGCCGCCACGGCCAAATGACCTTAACCACAGCACGGCTGGAACACATTCAAGGACAGTGACCCAAGTTTGACTCGTCCCCGGTTTAGACTTGAAGTGTTTCACACGTGGAGAATCTATCAGGAACTATGTCTATAAATATATTACTGGAAAATTAACAAGTTGTTCTTGAACAAAAAGAACCGAAAAATATTTTTTCTGGTGTTTTTTGCTCAAACTACTTTGGAAATATCTTTTTTCCAGTAGTGTTTGCGAAGGAAGAATAACCGAACCGTAGTGGTTCCAGTTCACAGAAAAACAACAAACGTTGTGTCCGAGAGTTTTTAGACCAGACCAGACAAAATGTGAATTTACAGGAAGAGCACGAGCCACCGTGTCCAGCTGCAAATGTGTCTTTCCCAACAACTCAGTAAATCTGGCAAAGCTCAGATGTCCCAGCTTTTCACCATCCTTGAACGCAACATCACCTTTGTGAATTTTTCTGTTCTGAATGCGCTGATGAGTAATTGTTCTGCGATGCTTTCAGGTCTTCATAGAGTCGTGTCTACTTGTGGTTTGTTGAAACACACAGATGACTCTGCTCTGCACTCATTCTCAGCAACGACACACGTCACGCTCACAACATAAAATACAATAAAACTAATTTACCAATGTATAACAGTAAAGAGCCCATGTAAAGGACAGACCTGTGCACGTACTTGAGGCGTTGCCTGATTTTACACATGCGCATTAGGAAGTGTACAAAGGTTAATCTGGAGAAGAAAGTCTCAAAAGTCATATTCACAGGCAAGCTGCTCCGACCGCAGCAGGTGATTTTTGCACATGTATTTGAGAATGTGCATATTCAGAACATTCCAACTCGTGCATCTTGAAATGTGTGCATGTGAAAAGCTGTTGATACATTTGTGAACCTTGTGGATCTAAGATGCTGATATAGGAATGATTATTTTGATGCTTTTATGTCAATTTATACTTATTTTATACTCATTTTATATGCAGCTTATCTGTGCAAGTCAGGCCTGTACTGCAGATGTGTTTTGGAGGAATGAAAATAAGCCTCCGGGGATGCTCTTGCCGCAAGATCTGGCCCATCTTGCGGTTACAGTGACCCGGCGTTTGATGTAGACAGGTCTTTCATCCACCCACGACCTTGGGTTTGAAAGACATGTTTTTATGAGCCATCGCTCTGCTGTACAAACTGCCTTGATGATGGAAAACATGTTTGCTCTGCTCGCACGTCACCCAGTCAGAGGGGGAGTATAAAAGTGTAACACCCAGAATAAGAGTTGAAGTCTGCTGCGGGTCCTGATCCGACGCCCAGCCTGAATTGATGTTACCTTTCTACTCGGACTGAAACCGGCTTCCTCGGTCTGGTGTCACGGTGAGGGGTTTTTACATCAATGCTTGATTTGTACTGAATGTACGTTGCTTTGCTGTATCTGTGGCGGTTTAATAAATGACACTTATTATTCTAGCAGAAAACAGCCTGAGAGTTTTCATTCATTGCTCCGACCTTTCCCCTAACCTGTATCTATCTTGTTAAAGATAATTTCATAGAACAGATGCAGAACTCAGTGTGTGTCTGTGACAACTTCTGAGACTAATTCATCTCCATATCAGCCACAGATAAAGATGAGTGTTGCAGCAAGTTGCTCGCCGCTCAGTTTGAAATACCAGCACGTGCTCTGGAAGACTCCCCGATGCAGCGACCGTCGTGGTGAACACGCTGTCCTCCGCGGCGTTAACGTCCCCCACGGTCACCGTCGTCACCTCTGAAGAACAAGAAGAAATGAAAAAGGCCCAATCAACCCCAACAAAAGCTTTGAGAACAGGAAGTGGCTGCTGGAGGGTTTTAACGACGCAGCGTCACATCACCAGGCTGCAAACAAACTCAGACGACATCAAATTAAACGCTCTTTGTTCTTCAATAAAATCCAGAAAAACTTGTAAGAACGGGAAGAAGAGCCAAGTTTGTCAATTTTCACAAAAACATCACTGGTTTTAATTTGACTCAAATTATTTTATTATCCTTCATCATCATTCTATATCTATATATCTATAGATCTATAGATCGATAGATCTATAGATCTATAGATCTATAGATCGATAGATCGATAGATAGATAGATATAGATATAGATATATATACACATATATACATATGTATATATATAGATATAGTCCAAGACGGTGGAATGAGTTGCCACTGCGTGTCAGGCAGGCTCCCACACTCACAGTCTTTAAGTCTCGCCTGAAAACACACTTTTATTCCCGTGCCTTTGACACGGTGTGATTTGTGTTGATCCTGTCTGTGTTCTTCAGTGTTGGCCATTTAGTGATTATCTGCTTCTATTTGTATCTATATTTTTATTTTATGTTTTCCTGTCCGCTCTGCTTGTTTGTTTCTGTTGTACAGAACTTTAAAGCACTGGGGGAGTGGTGGTGCAGAGGTTAGAGAAGGTGGGCCTGTGATCGGAAGATCGCCGGTTCAAGCCCCGGTACCAACAACATCAAAAATGTGGGTGGGGTAGGTGAAGCATCCACACCTGCCCCCCCACCCTCATTCACCCCACCTTGAGCCCATGAGCAAGGCCCTTAACCCCCACCATCTGCTCCCTAAATAGGTCTCTCTTGAAAATGAGTTCTCGTGGCTCAATGAGACTAACCTGGATGAATAAAGATAAATTTAAAAAAAATAAAACTTTGGTTGGTCTTGTTGTTGTTTTAAGTGCTCTATAAATAAATTGGTATGGTATCATGTACAACACTTCAAAATTAGAGAATTGTTATTTTCTGCTAAACTAAATGGTTTGAACTAATATAACTCATTTCTATGTAATCAATAAAAAGCTCTTTACAACAATCTGTGCCTCATTACCTCCACACACACACATTCACACAGCACTCTACTACACACACACACATTCAATCATAGAAAAGGTAGAAAAGAGAGCCTTGACGTCCTTTTCAGGGACACCACCAAGTCATTGGTTCAGGTATGTTGACGACACCTGGGTTAAAATCAAATCTCAGGAAGTCCAACATTTTACTGACCACATCAACTCTGTGGATAAATACATCAAGTTCACACGAGAAGATGTAAAAAATGGCAGGTTGGCTTTCTTGGACTGTGAGGTCTCAGTCTCTGATAGAGGACATTTGCAAACTGAGGTGTACCACAAACCCACCCACACAGACCAGTATTTGCAGTTTGACTCCCATCACCCTTTGGAGCACAAGTTAGGAGTCATCAGGACTCTGTACCACAGAGCAGACAGCGTCCCCACTAGCTCAGGAGCCAGGAAGAAGGAGAAATCCCACACAAGACAGGCTCTAGAGCAATGTAGATATCCTAACTGGGCCTTCCTGAAAGCAGAGAAGAAACCCAAACAGGACTCCAGTCAGCCATCAGGTGAAAAGGAGGAACCCAGACCCAGACCAGTGGTCATTCCATATGTTGAGGGGGTATCAGAGAAACTGAGACGTTTATTTTCTAAACATAACGTCCCAGTGGCTTTTAAACCCCAAAATACATTAAAGACTGGTTCATCCCAAAGATCCAGTCCCCCGGCACAAACAGAGTAATATTGTGTATGCTGTTCAGTGTCAGGAGGGTGATCAGTCTTACATCGGGGAAACTAAACAGCCACTGGCCAAAAGGATGGACCAGCACAGAAGATCAACATCATCAAGCCAGGATTCTGAGGTCTACACTCATCTCCAGGTCAGAGGTCACTCTTTCAGGGATGAAGATGTTCACAGCCATCAGTGTGCTAATGATCCATTGTTAGGCTGATGGTCCTTCTTGAGCATGTGATCAGCTGGTTTTGGTTGTCAGCAGCAAACTGGTTGATCCACTCTGAGAAGGTGCTATTTAAGAGACTGAGCTGAATACAGCACCTCAGACTGAAGAAGTCCTCTGGATGAGAGACGAAACGTTTCTACATTTTTTTGTTTTGTTTTGCTTTTTTTTTGTTATTTGAACGTTCAGAGGACCAGATTTAACTTTTTTATATTTTTCTACCTGGATTATTGAGCAAGCATCAGGATATTGCCTATTTCTTGTCTCTCAGATCTGTTATCTCATGAGCTGCTACACAGATTTTAATGAATAATTAAATAATTTTTGAAAATTTCAGAAGGTAATCACTGGATGAATGTCTAAAAATGATTGTGGACTTCAGAAGGAACAATAACTTCTACACCCCCCTGAACATAAGAGGATCTGCGGTGGAAGTGGTCTCCAGCTACAAGTACTTGGGTGTGCACCTGAACAACAACCTCAGCTGGAGCAACAACACCACCAGCCTGATGAAGAAAGATCATCAGAGACTCTACTTCCTCAGACGGCTGAGATGAGCTGGTCTGGAAGCTCAGTCCTCACCTCCTTCTACAGGTGTGCAGTGGAGAGCATCCTGTGCTCCAGCATCAACGTGTGGCATGGAGGCTGCACAGCTGCAGAAAGAAAAGCTTTGCAGAGAGTGGTGAAGGCTGCACAGAAGATGTTGGAGTCAGTCTCCCCACCATCACAGACATCTACACCTCCAGATGCAGGAAGAGGACCACCTGCATCATGAAGGACCACACTCACCCAGCACACACACTTTTTGACCCACTCCCCTCAGGAAGGAGGTTGAGGAGCATTAAGTGTAGAACCACTAGACTGAGGAACAGCTTCTACCCTGAGGCTGTTGGACTCATGAATCTCTAACCAGAATAATCACTGTGAAAAATCACATCATGTTGCTGCTGATCTGTTTCATGTTGCTGCTGATCTGTTTCATG